GGTGTTCCCACTCGACGTGCGGTCGAGCATTGCGGGCGGTGGAGAGGGTGAAGCAAGAAAGAGGTGTGTTGCGAGTGGGTGGAGAAGCCGGCAGCTGCGGCTTAGGGAGAAAGTGACGTCAGCGCGCACCTGCGAGTGATGCGTGCAAGAGGTGCGTGACGTCAACACGCTGCTGCATCTTGACCTACTCGGCACCGCTCCAACACCTGCGGCGAGGAGACGCGATGCGGCGCGTTCGTGCGGACGCACGTACGTACGGCGTTACACACGTTTGTCAAAGAGCTGCTTCGCATCTAAAAGGCACACCAAGGCGTTAGACTCTTTCGCGCTATGCACGATGCTGCCCGCGAACTCAGTTGTAAATTACCAATTATGGCTGCGTCTCTGCGGTTTTCAGTAAGCACTGCGTTCTCTATTCGATGTGCGTTATACGTAGATTGTGAATTATTTCCTAACGATCCGCCATGGCAGCCACATCAAGCGGGGTTTCGAAACCTTGGTTGTGCAACTCTGTATTTCTAGTGTCGAACCTGAGTCCTTCAATGGTCGAACCTTTTTTCCTTCCGTATAAATAAACGCACATACTGAATAAACCAGACACTTACACCTGTGATACGCTGTAGACGAGTCCTCCTTTCAAAAACCAAAGAGAGTTATGGGGACTCCCTTTGCGTGTAAGTAACGGCTCCTCACAGGAAACTCTCTTTATGAAGTTTATCGCGTTTCTCGTAAAATCGAGACTACTCCCTTTGTGTCGAGTCGGACCGAATGCCCTAATAAACGGAGTTAACCTAAGACTTCCATGGAGTCCAGCCACGAACCCCCCCCCCCCCCCCCGTTTTTTTTTTCTGTGTAGAAATGTAAGAGTCAGGAGTTGTGCACCAGAGCTTCAGCTACTCCAGGCGCTGAGATGACGTCTTGTGACATATCCAACGGGATTAGGACTCAACAACAACAACAAAAAAGACAAAAGAAAAACTTCCTAAGCTAAAATTATTCGTAGCAGACACGTCAACTATTATTTTTTTTTCTGTGCTACCCTCTACCGTGTTAACGGGACGACCGGTATTGCCAGAACAAAAGCCCCGAAGATGAAGAAGCGTTTCCGCTAGGGGCAGGGCGCATGTACCGTGGCACCGTGGAAGGGAAAAAAATGCAATTACAACCTCGTTGCATGCTGGCCGTATTATTAGCGAAGGCAATCGACTAGTCGCAATTAGCACTAACGAAATGAGAAGGATCAATTCGCAATGCCCTTTCTTAAAGCTCCGTCGATTTTGACAGTCATGAAAATCGGCCTTGACGCTCTATTCCTTGTGCCTGCCACGCATAGCCCGTGGATGGCGCCCGTGCGCCATCCACAGGCTATGCGTGGCAGGCACAAGGAATATATACATATACAGTCCATATATACATATACATATAATATATACATATACAGAATATATACATATACAGTCCGCGAACTGAGCCATTACGGGTTGGGCTACCGGTCGACCCTCGCGCCAGCGCCCGATGAACGTGTTTTACTGTGATTGCCAAGGCTGTTCGGAAAAGGTCACGTAAAATATTTACCGAGAATATGAATTTAGAGGCCCACGGAACTTTGCATATGGCATTTGACACGAAGCAGATCAAACGTTAACACGCTCATGACATATCCATCTGTACACTGAAAAAAGATGCGCTAAAGCTGACGAACATCAAAAGAAGAGCAGACACAGGACAGCGTCTGACCTGCGTCAGCTCTTCTTCTTGTTTTACGGCTCACACCTACCGTGGGGAATTGGCCAAGAACTGATTGGTCTTATAAAATCTTACGGAGTTTTAGAGTGACGTAGGTTATAAAATAAAAACATGACAAATCTTGTGGATTTTTGATGCTCACTCAAATGTAGCTCTTCTTTTTGTCCTAATTAGCATTGGCACTTTTTTCAGTGTTCATGAACAGCCAATTAGCCCAGCAGTCGGTTCTGCTACATATCCGTCTGTCACAACTAACATTAGACAGGCCCTATTAAAAAAAATCGAGGAAGAAAAGTAACAAAATATACGATTGGGAGACCTACGTAATGTTCTGTTGCCTTTCCTGTCTGCGGCAACCTCTTTTTTGTGTGCTAGTGGTGAGTTAAAACATTTTAATTTTGAATCATAATAAGCAATAGTCAGGTTATCATTACCTGGGGCACAGTACATAATGAAAACCACAGAATCAATAAGATGTAGCATGCAGACGCACGTGAATAAAGAAAAAAATGTCGAATATATAAAGCAAAATAATTTCACTACGGCTAAGTTGAAGCTTCTGCGAGGTCTTGCTCACGTTTCTGGTAGATCTAGAGACCTTTAAAAAGGTGTGAGGACTATCTCACCGTATGAAGTATTGTTCGTACGTTCTCAACGGTGTTCTCTCTTCTGCCATTTTTGTTCCCTGGTACTTCGAAAGCTTACGTCAGCATTAACTAGTGTAACGATGCGACGTCAATGCTTTTAGGTGTCACACCCTTGAAAACGTCAGCTTTAATCGTTTTTTTTTGTTGTTGTTGAATGCGAGTAACGTTTCTCTTCTACGTCTGCGTTCTTGCATACTCGATCGAGAAGTTGGCATTGCTTTTTCGTGTACCAACGTGCTCCCAAACCGGCAGAATAAGAGAGAGAGAGAAGGAAGACGAAGGATGTAAACAAGCATCAGTACTCGAACGGTACCCCGATTCCCTGGAAGGCTTAGGTGCATTATCGCAACTATTCAATTAAAATAATAATTCGAATCCGGAATTAATTAAATATTCAGTCAAACATTTAAAGTCTATTTTCAGTTTCTTTTTTAGTACCATCATCACTGCTCTTATACTGTGATACGATAACGACCAAAAAAAATAGTTTTAATCGGCTGGATTTTTCGAAACACCTTTGCGAACCATTTCATCTAGCCATGGGTAGCCTCGCTTGCTCGGCCACGCACAAACTGATTGGCGACCTCCGCAGTGAATTAAACGGCAACTGCTATGCTATGGATTAATGGCATTTCAACATATGTCGACACATCTTTCTAAGCCCATGTTGCAAACAGACTAAGTTGAATAGAACTCGCTTTCGCTTTGTTAACTTTCGACGTTTTCTAATTTTGGCTAATGTGTACAGGAAAAATTCAAACCACTGAAAGCTAATGAGGTAACTTCGTATACTAGGTATCACCGCTACATCTAATGAATGTATAACGTAACTGAGCCAAAGTTTCATCCATTTACGTCTGCGTGCAAATTAATACATTACGCGGCTTTCCATTAGACACCTATGTGAGGTACGTTTTCGGATGATTTCTTTTGTCACGCTCTCCATTGTCCATTGCCTGTTGTCCTTCTAATCAAGGAAAATAAAGCTAAACCGAAAGTGAATTGAATATGGTAAATCACTATACAGGTCACATATCTGAATTACATGCTTTTGATCTTCCTATAAGAAACATACACAACTCTCCAGCCAAGCATAGTTTTTCAGGATTTTTTTTTGCTCAGGCTCCGATATTTAGAACTTTGTCCAGAATGCCACAATCACAGTGATTTTAACCACATGCTCTGGAGGTGCCCCTCTTACAAAGGAAAAAAAAATGAAGAATTTTCCGAAAACTCCTTTCATTTGATGCTCACGAGTCCGGTTCTCATACAACGACTCAAGGCTGCCCAGAAGGCCCATGATGCGGCGGTGAGGCTATGGGCCTCCCCGTCCCTTTACGTGGGAGCGGCCCACGATCCTACCCCTATGAAACAGGAGTGGAATCCTTGAGGACCCCAATGAACGTTTTTTCATCCATCCATCCATACCAAAGCACAAGGCGAAAAGCCAAAGCGCATTCGTCCTATCTGTACAAACGTAGACGGAAATAATTGGCCAAAGTGATGCCCAATAGTTTTGACGCCTCATTTCAAATAATACTGAATTAAATTGATTCAGCGAAAAGGAGAGTGAGAGTATTCATTCGAACGATACGATTGAATTCAGTAATGCAAGTTTCTGTTGCGCTTCGCTCGTCTCTCAGGAGCTGCACTTGCATAAGGCAATGATGTTTTTTTTTTCTTTTTCAGACCTCTCAGTAAATAAAACATGAGCATATTTACTATCATTCTAACAGGAAAAGTTGTACTATCTAAATGCGGGTTCACAAGCTTCCTTTTTTTTACTTTTTGACTGCACGCACATGCTATATCACATGCGATAGGAAAAATAACACTATAATATTTCAAATAAGCTGCTTCGAACTATTTCTTTCTCTTAGTGTTGCCTACAAGTGCTTAATCAGCCGAAAAATCCTCGTCCCTCTCTATCATCCAAAGTGAAAGCCCCACGCAGTGCCTTAAATAGTAATTGTAGAAATTACCGAAACATTTCACGAAACGTGTTCCATTCTGCTTTTTTTTTTCGGTGGCATCGGAAACAATTATTTTATCGACGCGTCTGATCACAGAGTGCTGCAATTCAATCTTTACTGGTTAGTCGAAAATATTCATGTAAGGCAAACAAAATATCAGTCACCAAAAGGAATACTGAAGCAATGATAAAAAGAAACTATTTTCTTTGAAAGCCAGTTGCTGAACTGACGGACTACATGCCCTATAGTCCAGGGGATCGAACGCAGGACCAAATCATTTGCGGGCGAGACTGTCCGCCATTTCCGCGGAACTGCGTCCGCGCACCCCGAAACATTTTACGCTGAAACTGCGCACAAGTATAAATTTCGGCCAATCCTGATGCTGGACAAGTGATCAGCGAAGCCGGCTGTCCAATGGCAGAGAACTTGGGAATTGAAAGCTTTTATGGTTCGGCCCCTGATTTGTTGGGAACCTTGCAAGCCACATAAAGCGGCAAAATGCTTGTGTAAAACTAAGGCCACGGTAAATTTCCGACTCCACTTAATTGCTTAATGATCGTATTTTCCAGGTGCTGCGCACCAAGTCTTGCGAGCAAGAACTGTCTCCGCACCGGGGGTGCATCCGGGTACTCACCTGCGTAGCAGGTAGCCACTGCCCAGCAGGACAGTGCTAGGAGCCTGATCAGCATGGTGCTTCAAAGGTCCACTGAGCCCGAAGCAGCCGACCCGCAGCCACTTATCCCTTGCCGCTATCGCACTCCACCGAGCCCTCTCAGAGAAAGGGATGGGGGGAAGGGGGGGACCGCGATGCCGACCCGCTAGCCGAGAAGACGGCGCTCGCGTCGGTTCCTGCGCTGTCGTCGACGGAGCTTGTGGGCTTGCGCAACGCCGCTTACTCGGGCATGTCCAAACAAGGATGCTCTCGATTCAATCACGGCCGCCGCGCCGCGCAGCCGACGGCCTTTAAAACGCGCCCAGGGTGACGGTCTAGGTACTTGCGTGGGCAGCCATTGGACAGCTGGACGATCACGTGGCTACGAGACCGCTCACCTTCATTGGTCAGTGGTGCCGACGGGAACCGTGACACTTTTCTTTTTCTTCTTGCCACTTGCTCAAGACGGTGCGATACCGCAGCCCCGATGGCCCGCGTTGGAGCCCTCGAGCTTACCCCACCCTTGTGCAGGAAGGAACTCGAGAGAGTTCAGTAACCCACAGTTTGCGCGCGGCCTGTTATCGCCAGTGGCCCTTCTCATCGCTTGGTCCTTGTTTTAGCCGTTACGTAGCTAAAAGCAGCGGTCATCATAGTTGGAAAGGGGGTGTGACACCCAATCTTCGTGGAGATTCCTGTTCTTTGCTGGAGTGCGAATCCTCTTACAAAGTGAAACAATGTCTACAAGTCATTTAACCATATGGTGTAGTAGCGCAAATTTGACGGGGACGAAGAGGACAAGAAAACACGACACTGGTTAAATGATGTGGTTAAATGATATGGTTAAATGATGGTTAAATGATATGGTTAAATGATGTCTCACCAACTAGCCCAGCTATCAACCCTAATGTCTACAAGTGTTTGCAGGGGTGCTTGTCAAGTATGTCTATCTCGCTTACACCTAAAAGGTAAAGTTGCTTAGAGTTTGCAAGTAAAATGTCTGCCTTCCGAACCAGAAATAAGTTCAGATAAAGATGGCGTTTAGGTCATTGAGCAAGGAGTGTGGCCGTTGCTAACGTTTCGACCACGTGGTTTCGACAAAAAGAGTAGTAGACCTTTGATGAAGACAAGTCAACTTGTCGAAACCTTGACTCCAACGGCCTCCTTGGTCCTGATGAAGCGAATTCACGGAAAATGTACGGTGCTACATATCTGGACGGGACGAGGTGAAATTCAATGCATGAACAATTGAAACGAAATCTCATTAATAAGTAAAGCGGTTACGCGAATAAAAAAAGCAACACGCTGTTCACCATGCCGTACTCGGCCCAACATTAGAATTCCATAACAGAGCAAGTAACAGCCACAGGTTAATATCACATATGTGAAATGGCGATGAACGATACGTATTCTACTGTTGTGGAAATAAGAAAAAAATTGTGAAACAATTCGAGAATTTAAACAATTGATAATGAACATGTTTCTTGCTCTGGGCGTGGTAGTGTTGTAAAACTTTGTTCTCCATCATAATGTTACAAAATAATATTGTTAGTAGTATAACTAGTTAATTAATTTGTAATGCTTTGTCATTTTTGTATCTGTGCCTATGTTCCTATTGTGACTGCATAATTACGTTATGTTGAGAACTTTCTTTATGTTACTATTGTATTTGGTGACTATATGCTCACCGTATTAATGATTATGTCCTTCTTTATTCATTATGTTACAAAGTTGATTTACTTGAAGATCAGTTGCTTAGTGTGGCAGCAGTTCACGCCCTCGTGAGAAGGTTTAAGTCCCCCTTTTAAGTCCTCCTTGCGGGAAAACCCTGTAAACGTGTTATGCCCCCCCCCCCCAAAAAAAAAAGTGTCAGTGATACAAAAAGAATGATGCCATGTCACTATATCCAATCCCCAACGCGCACTGAAGCTCAAAGATATGTTGAGATCTGATGGAACAACTACGTAATGTGCATGGACATTGAAGCGACGTTGATGGCTTTTCAATGTTGACAGAATACCAAGGCTCGCATTCACAAATGTGTTTTACTCTGAATATTTTCGTAAGAGAGTATATCAACCAATCACGACATGGGGCATACCGTATATACCAACACACACCCCACGTCCATCAAATGACCCAACAATTTCTTTTTATTTTCATAAAGTCTTTCTTCTCCGATCCACTAGGACACATACCTCAATTACTCAGGTTGCCCATTACAGTGTGTGCTTGTTAATCGTATTATGTATGAATGCGGTACTGAATCATTTCATCTATCATCTTGGTTGTACGGCCAGGAAAACACCCCCTGCAAGCACTGCACAATATCTTTATCCTATCATCAAGTCGAAAAACAATGATATAATGTGAGATGGGTGTGAACGGGAACGCTGGTTTCACCATAATTATTTCGTTCGCAAGACCAACGCTTTCTCTATATCTTAACTCCATCTCCCACCACTTAGATGTAAGAAAAAAAATGTTAGGCACTGCATGGCTCGAGGCCTACACAGAGAGCATCGGTTGTTCCCGCCTGAGGGAATACTGACGAGCGGGAGTGGGAAGATATCTGGGAGCTTTCTTTTGGGGCCCTAAAGAAATAGCGTCAAGGCCAGTGCGCATGCGCAAAACCCAAACCGCGTTTGTGTTTTGGGTTGGGCACGCTATTTCTCAAATTTAGCGGAAGCCCCAAAGCCTGCCCCAAAAGTTCTGGGTCAGACAAACGTGACGGCACCCACTGAAGTGACGGCTCTCGACCAAAACTAAAGTGACATAGAATAGGGGAATTGTCCGAAGCGCCGCAGACACTATTAGAAAACTCATCGCCCCTGCTTGACCCAAAGCGTCCTTACGCAAAGGGCTTTGGGGCCCCTATTAGAAAGCTCTCTAGTGTCACACGTGTTATTTTGACGTGCTCGGCTTAAACCCACAATGACTGTCAGCGATGCTCGGCGCAGAACGCGCCTGGTGCGTTCGAAAAGCATCACGATTGTAGTAGATCGTTTCGTTACGACTGCGCGCAGGACGCGAATAGCCATGCTCATTCCAGAGATTACGCGGCCACCAGTGATAAGGATGGAAAGTTCGATGCTCCATGTATAAAATACAGTGCGACCTATAGCGACTAACAGATTATCGACGGTCGACGCTCTGACCATCGGTATCAGCGTTCAGCACGCATTGCTTGCTGTAGTTTGATGGTATCTTCGACTGGGTGCCACAGTTCTCCGACCCAGAGGTGGACGAATTGCTCGTACTCTGAGTCAGAGTACAAACACTCGAGCCGAAGGTCAAACCCGTTGCCGGAGGAAAATCGGCACAGGAGAAACCACGTGCCTACAGCGAAGATCCGCTTCCCGGTACTAGAAGCCGTGTTGAAGCCTTGCCGAAGCTTTCCACGCTCTCAAACAAAAATGGTTGACGCGCGGACGAAAGAAGCCGTCAACAAGGATACGCCCAGCTGGGAGAATTCCTGGTAGCAGGCACCGCTTTCGCCGCTCGTCTCTGGGTAGGTTGACAAAGGGGATGACATCAGCTTAGCGCTTAAACAGACTATATTTGACACGTTGACCAAATTGCGCAGATACCAGACGACGCGATAATTGCCGCCGCGACTACCACGCGTCTCATGATCACCTGACCGGAAGCGCTCGCACTGCTCCGTCGAAAGAGCTCGGAACAGCTCAGAGCACTTGACGAGCGAGGACGTGCCTAAAGTCACAACCAGCCGAATGCCATGCCGCTCGCGAGATCACTCTATAGAGCGTTCAAAAACGACCAGTCTATGAGATGCCACCAGTTTCCACTTTCCCGGCCACAAGTTCAGCCAAATAAAGAAGTTAATTTTGGACACGCCGCCTCTACTTTCGTCCGCGTCACGACCCAGTGACCATAGAAGGACACCATATATGTTGCAGAGGCGTACATTCCCACCACCACCATCGAAATTGAGCAAGAAACATGTAGGCTGCCGAACGAAGTTATAAACCCTATCCTACCCGAGCCCAGCTATTACGCGCATAATACACCATGACTTATACACGACAGACAAGTGCAGACATTGCCACTCTGAAGCCACTTTAGAAGACATACTAAGGGGATGTCCAGGCATAATAAACAACCGTTATGGAGCCTTAAACAGCGGACAGCCTCCGCGCACGTGTGAGTTTGTGTTGCTCAGCTCAGACCTGGAGCAAGAACTCTGGCCCGTCCTTCAAGCCGAGGAAGCCACCAAGGGTCAGCAACCCTTGACCGAAGCCTAGGCGGCCTTCAGGTCCATCCCACAAATGCGCAGGGCGCTGAATAAAGTTATTTGATCTCATCTGCCACGGTTTGGCTACGCTAAGCTACATACAAAATCACGATCAAGAGTCTCAGCCAGTGCCAATTGCGACTAAAAATTGGAAACTCTTAGAACGTTACACGCGTCACGGGTGCGCTAATAAGTTTCAAATGTATCTTAGCGTATTCCGGCCAATTTGATCGTTTCTATCAACATATTTTTCATACCTGACCTTTCGGAACGTTAAACCCAACATATCAATCAATCTATGAACCTGACCACCTACGTCTAGGTGCTCTCGTGATCGCCCACTTGACTTGGTGTAGACCAATATTAGTATGGGAGGGCAAGATGGTTTGGCGAATATGACTCGCTGGCCAGGACATAAATAACGTCACAATCCCGTTGTGCACGTCGTCAAACCCTTTTCAAACAAAATTATAACAGTCACCTTCCAGCTCCCCGGACGACGGCTCCTGGAGGCCTAGCCCGGGCCAGTGATTCCTCGTTGGATCCTTTATATAGGTAGGTATACCTAAACCTATACCTATACCTACCTACCTACCTACCTACCTACCTTACCTACCTACCTACCTACCTACCTACCTACCTACCTACCTACCTACCTACCTACCTACCTACCTACCTACCTACCTACCTACCTACCTACCTACCTACCTACCTACCTACATACATACATACATACATACATACATACATACATACATACATACATACATACATACATACATACATACCTGACTACATACATACATACATACATACCATCCGCATGCTTCATGTAACATCGATTTGCAAGGTACGCGGGATCTGCCGAATGATTTTTGTTTGTTTCTCCGCTCATTGCATCTTTCTTTCCCCAAGTTCCCCGCACCCACATGCAGGAGGGCAAGTCATGTTTTTCATTTCGACTAACCTACTCATCCCCCCTTTGTATTTCTCTTATTCTCTCAAGCACTCTGAGCAAGGTTTATACCTGTTCCTGC